AGGACTGTAAACTCGAGAGCTGGAGTGTCCTTGGATGCCATCGAGTCCACTCCCTGGTATTACAGGTGGTGACATCGGTCCCAAGATCAGGAGGGACTTTGTGGGAAGCATTTTGGGCTTGCCTGCGTGGGCACCTGGACTCTGGAGAAGGGGTGTCTTGGTGGGGGATGGCTGCTGAGAAAGGCTACCTGGCCACCTGCCCCCACCCCACGGGCTGGGCCTTGTGACATGGCCAGCTAAACTCCACCCTCCTCTTCCTAGAGGCCTATTGCCAGGGGTGGGGGCTGCGGGGGAGGTCTCTCGGCCCCTGCCCCCAGCCTGGCATGGTGGGTTTGCAGTGCTCAGCTTTGGTCAGGGTCAGGGCAGGCAGGTCACGTGTTGCCCTCTCCCACCCTAGCGTCCCCCCCCTCGGGCAGACTCCTCCCAGCAGCGAGTGGAAGCCCGGGCAGAGGCTGCTGTCGCAGGCAGAGGCCCCCCCCTGATGCCGGCCCTGCTTGCCCCTCACACTGCCAGGTCTTCACGTGCTCCGTGTGCCAGGAGACCTTCCGCCGGAGGATGGAGCTGCGGGTCCACATGGTGTCCCACACGGGGGAGATGCCCTACAAGGTCAGGCTTGGCCTGTCCCCAGGGCCGTGGGTGGGGGGGGGCAGCCCCAGGATCTCTCCTGCCGAGCCCTATACGTGGGATGATGTTAGGCGCCTCCTCCTTGCTAGCCGTCAAGATGCCCAGCCTTCCCTACCCATCTAGTGTCCCCTACCTTCAGGCAGGGACACTGGCCCTTGCTGGGGCCTTGTTTCTTTCTATGGAGGGCAGGCTTAGCATCCCTGTGATCATGGCACTGGGGGCCCTCCCTGGAACATCCTTTATGCCAGGTCACGGAACCTCCTGGCATCTTGGGCTGGGCCCTGCCCTTGGGTTCCTGCCTCCACAGCCTGGGGGCAGCCGGGGTCCCGTTGGTGTGGGTGGCCTAAGAGGTGACCTTGGGCCTATTTTCCAGTGCTCCTCCTGCTCCCAGCAGTTCATGCAGAAGAAGGACTTGCAGAGCCACCTGATCAAACTACATGGAGCCCCCAAGCCCCACGCTGTGAGTGCCAGGCTGTGCTTGGGGGCTGGGAACTGGCAGTAGCGAGGAGGTGGTCACAGCCAGGCAGGCCGCCCTGCCCTCACCCTGGTCTTGCTCCTTTGCCCCACAGTGTCCTACCTGTGCCAAGTGCTTCCTGTCCCGGACGGAACTGCAGTTGCACGAGGCTTTCAAGCACCGTGGGGAGAAGCTGTTCGTGTGCGAGGAGTGTGGGCACAGGGCCTCGAGCCGAAATGGGCTGCAGATGCACATCAAAGCCAAGCACAGGTGTGGACTGGTGGTCTTTCCCCAGGGCTGGTCCTGCTGCTGGCTCCAGGCCAGTGAGTGGGCCTGGAAGACAGTTGGCTGAGGCGTGCGTGGGACTGTAGCCGCTCTGGTAATGGCACCTGAGGGATGAGTGAGTTTGCCAGGCAGAAAGCCGGGGTGGGGAGAGTCTGTCCTGCAGCTCCTGGGATGAAGCTGGTGCCCCTTTCCTGGCACGGCCCTAGCCCCTCTTCCGCACAGCTGGCCTCGGCCTGGGGCTGGTCCCACCGCGTCAGGTTTCCTCGGGTCAGGGCAGAGCGAAGGGGGCCACATCCCTTGGTGATGGCGTCTGTGTCCCCGACCCGGACAGGAACGAGAGGCCGTATGTCTGTGAGTTCTGCAGCCACGCCTTCACCCAGAAGGCCAATCTCAACATGCACCTGCGCACGCACACAGGCGAGAAGCCCTTCCAGTGCCACCTCTGTGGGAAGACCTTCCGCACCCAAGGTGAGGCAGGCCCATCCTCTCACTGTCCTGGGGCCGAGGCCCGGTGACTGAGGCCCCGCCTTGTCCCCACAGCCAGCCTGGACAAGCACAACCGCACGCACACGGGTGAGAGGCCCTTCAGCTGTGAGTTCTGCGAGCAGCGCTTCACGGAGAAGGGGCCCCTGCTGAGGCACGTGGCCAGCCGCCACCAGGAGGGCCGGCCCCACTTCTGCCAGATCTGCGGGAAGACCTTCAAAGGTACCTGGGCTTGCGGAAGGCCCCGTGCCTCGCGCTTCCGTGGGCTCGCCCCGTGGGGAGCTGCCAGGGTTGGGGCGTCTCCGCGGGGAGAGGCCAGGTGTAGCAGTGGCTTTTACGCGCTCCTCCTTGGCACGAAACCTTCTTGCCAGAGAATCTTGGAGCTGCTGCGAGGTGGGGGTGGAGGCTCCGGAGGGTCCTGTGCAGAAGTGCTTTTGGGGTGCTCCTGGAGCCCGGCGGGGCCCGTATAGCAGCCGCATACCCCAGGACCTCCTCTCATCCCAGCACTTTCTGCCCACTTTCTGCCTCTGCTGACGCTGGGGCCCCGCCCCTCCCCTTCCCTCCCCTCCCCTCCCTCAGCCGTGGAGCAGCTGCGCGTGCACGTCAGGAGGCACAAGGGGGTCCGGAAGTTCGAGTGCACGGAGTGCGGCTACAAGTTCACCCGGCAGGTAGGCCTGGGGCCAGAGTCCCTCCTCCTGCCCCCTCTGGCCCCACGCCCCTCCCGGCCCAGCCCTGAGTCCCCTTGCCCCCCAGGCCCACCTCCGGAGGCACATGGAGATCCACGACCGGGTGGAGAACTACAATCCACGGCAGCGCAAGCTCCGGAACCTGGTCATTGAGGACGAGAAGATGGTGGTGGTAGCGCTCCAGCCCCCCGCCGAGCTGGAGGTGGGCTCGGCTGAGGTCATCGTGGCGTCCCTGGCCCAGGGCAGCCTGGCCTCCCAGCTCCCTGGCCAGAGACTCTGTGCGGAGGAGAGCTTGGTGAGCCCGGGTGGCATGGAGCCCTCACTCATCATCACGGCGGCCATCCCCGAGGACTGTGACACGTAGCCGCCCTGCCGCCACAGCCCCCTTGGCCCCTGCCCCCAATAAACCACACGGCTTTGGACTCCAGCGTTTCAGGCTATCTGGTGGTTCCCCGGCAACTGTTCTCCAGGGGTGTGCTGCTTTCCCATCACGTCCTCTAGAAGAAACGGTCCCTGCCTGGCCCTCTCTGCACCTCGGGGTGCTGCTCAGCCAGCAGCTTCCCCACCTTGTCGGGAAGACCTCAGCAGAGCGAGACGCCCAGGTGCTCCCCTCCGTGTCTGGTCCCTGTCAGGGTTCTAGAACTGGGAGTGGGGGCATTCCTGATTCACGGCTGTGGTGCTGCCAGCCGGTGGGGGTAGAATTCATTACTGAGGCTCTGGAGTCAGAACCGAGTGGCCAGGGCCCCTGATGATGACCTTGCTCGCTTGACTCTGCCTTGCTAGTGTGCAGCAGATCCCACTGGGGAGCCTGAGGGAAGGGCTTGTGGTTAAGCAAGCTCTGGACCCTGGCTGGCAGAGGACCACAGAAAGGATCCTTCCCTTGGGAGGGTCCTAACTTGCTTTGCTTGTCCAGGGGGCCTGGAGTTCAGGCCCGGCCAGGCTTAGAATGACAGGAGGCCCTGTTGTCATCCCCGGGTTCAGCAGCCACAGGGACAGCAGGGCCGGGTGCTAGATCATGGAGGAAGGTTGCATGGGTGCTGGCACCCAAATTCCTTCTCAGCTTTATTTATAGCACTGTGACCCAACCAAATGATTGCTTCATTTCCTCATTTTTAATGGAGCTGGAAACAGTACGCATGTTGTAGACAAGGACTGTTGCAGTTCCCTGTGGCTGGATGGCAGGCCACCCGAGGATTTCCCTGGAGGCTGGAGGGCGGGGGTCCATGCCTGGCAACATGGTGCTGGCTGTGGGCCTAGGCCCTTCTCCACAGGCTTCCTCCCAGCATGGTGGCTGGCTGCCGGGCCGAAGTTGTGAGGCCTTTTTATGACGTAGCCCTCAAGTCACACAGTGTCACCTTTGCCAGGCTGTGTTGGTCCAGGCAGTCACCAGAGCGTCACTCCCCAGATTCAGGGGGAGGGGATGGGTGTTAAGGACCACACACAGTTTACAACCGCCCCACCTGGAGCATAGGGTCCCTGCTCAGTGCTTGGCACAGAGCAAATTCTGAATTGGGTAGTGATGGTCGTGACCAAGAGCTTAAGTCAAGCACGACCTAAATCCCATCCCTGGGATATTCCCGAAACACCAGCCCCACGCGATGCCAAGCTCCTCCTGGAGTCTGAGGAGGACAGTGATGTCTTTTAGACCCAGAACCCATCTAAACATCTTTCCTTTTATTCCTTGACTGCTGGGGCACTCCGGTAAAGACCATATTCAGGTACAACAACCGATGCCCAGGCTATGCGCTGTCTCAAGTCTACTTCCGTGAAGTTATTACTTTTTTTAAAGATTTTATTTGACAGAGAGAGTGAGAGAGCACAAGCAGGGGGACCAGGAGAGGGAGAAGCAGGCTCCCTGCTAAGCAGAAAGCCCGATGCGGGGATCGATTCCAGGACCCCAGGATCATGACCTGAGCTGAAGGCAGACGCTTAACTGTCTGAGCCACCCAGGCGCCCCTGGTGAAGTTATTAAAAAGATGATAAACTATGGCCTCAAAATGCTCCCTTTCCCTGCCCAGGCATTGGCCTTTTCCTTGGATCCTATGTGAGAAGCCTTTCTGAGCTTCGTGGGCCAAGGGACCCATGGTCTCTCCCCCTACCCCAGGTCTAAAGTTTGCCCACTGCAGATGGGGTCTGACCACTGGAGACCCCACCTTCAGGAGTAGGGGAAAGCGAGGCAGGGGGCAGAGTGCCAAGAGGGGGAGTCAGGGAGGCCAAACCAGCTCTGGAGCGGCAAGTGAGGGTAGGACTCGGGCACCTGCACTCTGCACGTCTGGGGCTCAGCCTCCTCTTCCCACCACTTCCTACAAAGGGCCTTAAAAGCTTTGCTCTAAGACTGTTAGCATGAGCCCTGGGCACCCCAAACTCTGTCCCCTTCCCCTGCTGGAACGGGGACAGCCCTACACTGCTCTGCCTCTGCCCAAGTTTCTAAGACACCAACAGCAGGATAAAGACCATGACACCAGGTGTATAGGAAATGGTTTATTTCAAAAAGTATATATTGAAGGCATCTTAAAATCTTAAACAGGATTCCGGACACCTAGGCCTATAGAACAAATAAATAGACAAATCTGCCCCACCCTCTGGGGTTGGAACTAGATGTTGGACACCGAAAGGGGCATGTCCTTTAGTACACAAGAGTCTCGCAAATCATATAAATATAGAATACTTTATAGCAAATCAGCATTAAATACAAGTCACTGAATTTTCATAACTTAATTTGTCTCACAGACCGAAAGTTCTGTACATCCAACACACAGACGGCCCCACCCCCAGCTGGCCCACCTCTGAGCCCAGTCAGTGTGCAGACATCCCCAAGTGGTGGAGGCCTCAGCACCAAGGGCCCTGCCAGGGGGAGCAGGGGGGGCGAGGGAGGGCCGTCCTGAGCCCAGGCCCCCAGCTGGGGTCTGCAGGAACCTGCTGCTGCTGAGGCTGCCGTCTCCCCTTCCTGCCCCTGGTGTTCCAAACCAAAGCCGGGGTCTGGGTGGGGGGGACCCGCGAAGTCGAGAGTGAGCGCAGAGCCACCAGCCGCCACCTGCGTGGCCGCCAGACACGGGGGCGGTCAGTCACGTGGTAGCTAGTCGCAGTGAAGTCCCAGAAGGAGTAGGAACCAGGACGCGGGGCCCCCGCCGTGAGGGAGCTTCTGCGGGGGAGGCCACACAAAGGCCTGAGTGGGCACCAGCGCTCAGCACTGACCGCGCCTGCTGTGCGGCCCACAAAAGCTGCTTTTGTAAGAAAAACAAGAAGGTGTCTGCAGTGCCCCGTCCCAACAAAAATGCGTTACAGGAGACCTCTCCCTGTAAGTCACCGACCGCGGGAAATCCTTGACCTTGACTGAGCCCAGCCCCGCTGGTGGGAGGCCGGGAGAGTTCCAGCAACCATGGCACGTGTCCACCTGCCCTCACAGAGCGCGCCCACGAGGTCCAGGCCTGCGTTCTTCCTCTGGGAGGGCGCTCTGCAGATGACCGGGCAGCAGCTGCCACATCTACCTGTGTGACATGTCCCCTCACCAAGTGGGCAGGCCCCAGCGGCTGGCACAGGGCCCCATCAGTCCCGAGTGGTGCAGCCCTGGCCTCCCCCTGCTGCTGCCAGGAGACAAGCCATCCTGCCTGGGCAGCCTCACAGAGCACGGGCGACCTCCGGGGGCTTAGGCTGCTGGGAAGGCACCGAGCCAGAGACAGGCATCCCCAGCCCGGGGAGCGTGGAGTCAGACCACCACCCGGGGGACGACAACACTCCTACGAGGAGGGCTGAAGGTGAGACCTGGGCATGAAGAAGCCCAGGCCCAAGGGATCCCACAGCCCTAGGCCTGCCCAGCAGGGGAGTCCCAGGCAGGCCCACCACCCCGTCTTCCCACAGTGCCAGGCACAGCGGATGTGCGGAGGTGACCGGGTGGGGGACGCCCGAGGGGATGGGAGGGGATGGCTGTGAGCGGGAGCTGCTCCAGCGGGGGGTTCCGGAGCAAGGAGTCTAACCTGACCATGAGGGCATGAGGTGGGGAGCCCAGCCTATGACTCTTGAGGCCATAAGACTTCCTCCCCAGAGCCACCCGTGCCCTCTGGCCAATAAGTGTTTCAGGGCTGCTTATGGAGGGATAGTGCTAGAAGGTTTTTCTTCTCCTGGTAAGAACGCATCTCCAACTTAGTTCACTGGGAAAGGCAACTCAATGAACACTTGCTTTCTGTGTTTCTAATGAGGGAGATGGGAACTTCCTCTTCTTTGGAAGAAAGACAAATCCAACCAAAAGTTACTTGGGGATCTGGGGAAGACAAGACCACTCACTCCGCAGAGAAAACCAGGGGCCCCTGAGCTGTGGAGTTTCCCAGGAGCTCCTCCTGCCACCCTCCTGGAGAAGCCCCAGGCTTTGGAGGAGTGGGCGGCGTCACCCTGTCCTGCAGAAATGGCACCGGAAGACATTAAGCAATCAATCCAGGACTCTGTTTTTCGCTGCCTCCCTCCCCGCCTCCCCCTTCTTCCAAGGAAGGGCCAAACTGCATTTCAAACCTTGCAGCCAACTGTGGGGGCTGCCCTGCCCAGGGCTTCCTTTGGAAGCAGCAAGATCCTTTGCCCCCATGGGAGGGCGAGGGCACCTGCAGCCATCTGCCTGGCTGGGCTTCCATGACAAACTCCCGGGCCTTCCAGGAAGAAGCTACCACCTGGCACCTGTGGGCTTTTGCGCTCTCCTGCATCCACCTGGGAGGACAGTCCCGGAGAGGTCTCCAAGCAGGTGGCAATAGGCCAGCTGGAGGGGTGGGCGGATGGGGACACCCAGCGTTTGCTTCAGCCCAGGTTCATTGGAGATAGGATTTACTCAGCACGTCCCTCGGGGCCCTCTTCAAGGCCGCACTCCTGTCCGGTCCCACTGGGCTGCATCGCTGGGATCACCCCAGTGTTTCAGTGTGACACCCCAGCAGGGGGGAGGAGCCAGGCAGGCAGATCCCCTCTGTCCGGGAAGCTGGCCCGCTGGGATGTCCGGCACTGGACGTGGAGTTTGGGACCTGCTGCAGCCATCGTCGGCCTGCTTCCCGATGTTCCACACTGGCCTGGGAAGGCCAGCCCGGACCACTCCGAGACTCTCAAAGGAGGACTGAGACCCACAGGTAGCCCTCCTCTCTGAGGTGGGAGCAAGGAGGCGTAGGCAGGGGCAGCAGGAGGGGTCACCTGCTGGAGCCAGAGACCTGGGCTGGCACGGAGGCCGCTCTTCCTGGACCGAGGGAGGGGTGTCTGCAACGGGCTGTGGTCCCAGCAGCTGTGAGTCAGGCTCCACAAGGACAGAAACTCTCCTGGGCTCAGAGCCTGAGGCTCACTCAGCAGCCCGAGCCCAGGCTCCACCTGCCGAGCCCAGCCTGTCCTGGTGCACGGAGGAGGGGCTCACCGCCCCCGCAGACGTGCCGTGTCACCTGCACCGAGGCCCTCCCCGGGCCGGGCCGGGGCTAGTGCAGCTGGCCGGGGCTCTGCGGCAGCCGGGGCCGGGCCACATCCAGGTCGCTGCTGCCACTGGCCAGTTCAAAGCCGCGCCCGCCCGAGGGCATCTGGGGCATGAACTGGCGGAAGATGCTGACGCTGCCATGCCAGAAGGTGGGCTCTGGGAGCCGTCCCACGACACTCCAGGCCCGAGTCTCTGGGTCATAGGCCTCCACCACGTCAGAGAGTTCAAACGTATTGTCGTAACCACCTGAGACGTAGAGCTTCCCTCCAAGGACGGCCAGGCTGCCCCCCACGTGCACCTGCGGGCCAAAGGGGATGGGCGAGTGGAGGCTGGCAGCCAGGGCAGGGCTGGGACCCCCCCGTCTCTCTCCATGGAGAAGGTGCCCAGGACCCTCGGGAAAGGTGGCCTCCGCACCCTTCCCAGGACAGACCTGCACGCTTCCTACACCCCAGCTCAGAAAACAGGCCCCAGGGGGTCCCAGGCCATGCCTGGTCCCCGTGATGCTGGGAGGCTGCTGGAGCAGCGAGTCTCCCCGCAAGCAGCATCAGCTCGAGGCAGGCTGGGCTGGGCTGCTCTCCCCGTCCCACAGGTGGGAAAACAGCCTTGTGGGGCTGATGGAGGCAGAGCCAGGTCTGGACCAAAGTCTGAGCTCTGCCCCGCAAAACCGGACCACCTCATCTTTCCCAAATTTGCTCTAATAACGGGTAGGTCGTTATGGGGAAAAACAAAGTTACATTTCCTAAACGTAACAATGTTAAACTGGGATGTTGGGAATTGTGACAGTCGTCACAACTGCCATGCAGAGGTAGCATGAGAACGGGTTTGGAAATTTTAAGGAAGACAAAAAAGATGTGAGCGGATTTACACAACTCTCTGGGACTAAGGGAACTGCCCACGTGGCCAAATGCTGCCATGCTTTCCCAGCTCCATCACAGACCTCTCTTCTCAACAAACGGAGAGGAGAGACCCTGATCAGATAGCAACAGTGTCCTGTTTTGGGTACACAGTAGGCACTCAATAAATGTCTTCTCAGGGTCACTCCTGTCTGACCTCATGCTCTCTGCTGTCCCCTTGTTCACTCTGCTCCAGCCACACTGGGCTGGGGGGCTTCTTCTACGACCACACTAGGCACACTCTGCCCCAGGGCCTTTGCACTTGCTGTCCCTCTGTGGAACGTTCTTCCCCACATGCTCTCTGACTTATAAAGCAGGTACCCAATAAACACGGGCCTGCGTGGATGAACTCGCTAAACTGTCTGACCTAGGGATTTATGTAAGGTCTCAGTGCCCCACAGTACAAACTGAGGGAAAAACCAGTCCTCTCTTAAGTGACATAACCCTGGGAAAGGCCTCAACACAGGCCCCACCCACCAGGACTAGTTCCCAGACACGTCATGGCAACGCTTTGGCCAGAAAACAGGACAAGCCTGTGCTTCCAATGCCAACACGTTTGCATATTTACCTGATTCATAGATGGGATCTTGTCCCATTCGTTCTTTGTGGGGTTATACACGTCCACCTCCGCAGAATCGTCCCTGTGGGTGGGTGGGGGGGGAATGTGTCAGAGCCAGGAGGAAGCATCCCTGGGTGTAAGGAGCTAGAGAGCAGGGCCACACAGGCCCCTGTCGTTTGGGAACTTCTTTGATGCCATCTGAAGTCCAGAGGCCAGTGAGACCCTAGCGCTGGTTTGCAGGGGCCAATTTCAGGCCCTCACACCTATCTGGCTTAGGCTCTGAGGCCGGAACCAGACTCTGCTTCTCAAACCTGAAGACACAGCTTCTGGTGCTTAAACCCTTCCCACCGCCCTACACCAGGGCAGCCTCCCTGCCCTCATGGCGGCCCCACTTCGGATCTGAACTCATCACAGCTCTTCCCACCCATCTGCTCTCGGTCTTCCGATCTGGGCTCGTCTTCCCTTCCATGGCTGACCGGGCCAGGCCAGCCTCCTGCCCGCCCCACGGCACACTGCCATGCACCCTGGCCCTGTCCGCGGTCAGCCCCCCAAGTCTCCTCCCGTTCCCTGCTGTGTCCTGGGTGCCCAGCAGGACAGCCACGGTCACGGGAAAGCCACGGTCACCAGTGCTGCCCTTCCCTTTGGGGTCAGGATCCTGCAACCTTGTTTGACATCCTCTTGGTCCCTGCAACAAAAGGCTCAAAGGCCCAGCCTCGAAAAGCAGAGACACGAACCCCCAAACAGCAGTGACAGCAACGAGTCAGGGCTCAGCAGAAGGGCCAGTCAGCTGGGCCTCGGACAGCATACTCCGTAGCAACCCCCCAACGCCGCCCGCCGCCGTACGCGCAGGGGCGACCACGGACTGAGGGGCTGGCTGCATTCCACAAAAACCGTATTTACGGACACAGAAACGTGAATTTCGTGCAACTTTTCACATCATAAAATACCACTCCTGCTTGGATTTTTCTCCCCCCAACCATTTCAAGGTGTAAAAACCATTCTTAGTTTGTGGCCCCCATGATGAGGACAATTAGCCTGGCCGCCCTCCGCCAGCACAGAGCTATAAACTGCAGCCGGAGGCGCCAGGCTGGACGGTGCTCCCAGCATCTCCTCCTGCGGGGGGCTGGGCACCCCGGCCAAGGAGCCGCACACGGGGACCGGGCGGGCCACTGGAGAAGGCAGGGGCCCAGGGCAGCAGCAGCAGCTGAGGAGCTGAGGCCTCGGCCCAGCACTGGGTACTTGTGGACAGGAGCTGCCCGGGCAGGTGGCGTTCTGGGCAGCGCATTACGTGGCTTGTTAGGCAGCGGGGTGCATGAACTGGGTGGCTCTGGGACGAACGCTCAAGTGCATCAGAACGAGACCCCGGGCCTTGCCCGCACTGTTCCCGCCGAGGACAACTGGGCTGCCTTTCCCCGCTGCTCACTCTCTCCGCCTGGTTTGGGGGGCGGGGTGTTGAGGCAGAGCTGAGCCTGCCACCCCCAGGCTCCAATGGCTTAGGTGAACCCATACAAATGCTAACAGTGGGCATGGGGGGCACCCTAATGCTTCCACGGGGGGGTGGGGAGGGCAGTTAGCAACTGACAAGAGGCTCCATCGTGGAGGAGCAAGGCACAGGGGGCCTTTAGGGGACCTCAAGACTGGTCCTTGAGCCCGTTTTGCTCTAGGATCACAGGGCACGGAGGACATTCTCAAAGGCGCTCAAGCTGGAACTGCTACCGAAGGGCTGAAGCCAAGGTTCTGGCACTCTGAGAAGTATTTATAGCTGTCCCCAGCCCCTCTCTGAAGACATCTACCTTGACTTGGGGGAGGGAGAGCTGGGTAAAGGGTCAGATGATGTTTTATAGCAGGACCAGAGCTAGGGGAGATCCCAGGGCTTTCTCAGAGCGGCCCTGTAGGTTCCTGGCATACAAGGATGCGTGGCAAACGGTGCCATCTCTGTGCTGAAGGTGCTCACCAAGAAAGCCTGAGAAGGGAGCCTTGGGTCTTGGGGAGTGTGGGGGGGCAGACAAAGGCCAGTGCAGCTTAGAACTCGAGACAAGGGGAGCCAAGTACATACTTCCTTGGAGGCTCCCCATTCAAAGCCCCAGCCTAAAGGGGACAGAGGAAACTACAGTTCAGACCTTACCCTTCCCTCCTGGTCCCACAGCTTCAGACAGGCTCCAGGCCAAGGAGGGAGGAGCAGGGACGCACACCTGCAAGCGCACACGCACACACACACACACACACACAACACACACACACGGAGGCTGAGCACAGCAGGCAGGAGCCCCCGGATGCCCACTGGCCCATGACGAGGGGGAATCTGGCTGTGGCAGGTCACCAAGACCCCCTGGCCACCCATCTCCGCCCCACACTGGCAAGGACACAGCCCGGCCCAGGGAAACCATCATACCAGGACCCGGGCTGGCTATCCTTGATTCAAACCTGGTGCGTCCCGTACATCCCCTACCCCCAGAAGCCTCCGTTGCTATCTGTGAAGCAGGGATGACCAGCGGTGCCCATCTCATCAGATGGTCATGGAGATTGACTCGGAGACAGGCCACAGAAAGCTCAGGGCCCTGCCATGTGCTGACTCTCGTCATCGTCATTGTGTCCCCCAGGTAGCTTTGGGGCCGGCTCCATCCCAGGTCCCTCCCTGGTCCAGTGTGGCTGTGGGGTCCTTAGAGAGCAGCATTCACTCTGCAGGACTGTGAGGCTTCCCTGTGCCAGCTCGGGTAGGGAGGGAATGGACAGCACCTGCACACATGCACTGAAGGCCCAAGTGCTGCTTTAAATCAAGGGGTGGAGCCCCCACCTACCTCCTGCACCTGGTGGCCGAGCGCGGACACTCTGCTAGGTGAACACGGGGTCCCTCTGACAAGGCAGCACCTCCCCAGAGACTCAAGGGCCCAAAGAGCTCTCCCCTAGTCTTTTTAAGATTCAAAATCCCTCTTAGGTAGGACAGGTTCCTTTATAACAAGGGCCTTCTGAGAACCACCAGGACTTAGACTGGGATCCTCCAGGTGGAAGAGCAGGCAAAGCAACACATTTTATTTAGCTTCTAGGAATCTCAAGTTCTCTGGAAGGACCCAACTCTAATCAATCAATCAAAGGCTCTAACTCCCTCAGTTAGGATCCCTTGGTTAAGGAAACCTAGAAGCCCACAGAAACTGTTCTAAGAAATGGGGCAGAACAAAGGCTCCAGGTTGGAAAGACCTGGCTGGGATCCCAGCTCAGGCTGCTTCCTCATCTACGAAATGGGGAGCACGGTGAGGATGTACGTGCCTCAGCACCGGGCCTGGGAAGAAGACTGAGAAGTGGCCTCGGCCACTGGGGACTCACCTGATGAAGTACATAAGTCCGTTCAGAGTCACGGTCTTGGGCGCGAAGGACCAGGGTGGGAGCTGGCCGCAGTCCACCAGCGACCACAGGTCGGTGTCCGGGTGGTAGCACTGCATCACCATGGTCTCCTCGCCGGCCAGGGAGCCGATGGCGTAGACGCGGCCGCGGCAGGCGGTGGTGGAGCAGTTGTCCATGGGGTAGGTCATGGGCTGCAGGGCCTCCCAGGAGTCCGCGGTGTGGTCATAGCGCTCCGTGCTGTCCGCGGCCACCACGTACAGCAGCCCGTCCAGCACGGAGGAGCTGTGGTACTCGCGGGCCTTCAGCATGGGCGCCACCTCCGTCCACTCGTTCACGCTGGAATTGTACCTCCACACGCAGTCATAGAGCCGGGAGCCGTCAGACCCACCTGCCGGGACGTGCAGGAGACAGGTCAGCCCATGCTGACTCGGGCTGAGTCACCCACCCCTGCCTCCGTGAACTTCCCCGAGGGAGTCTCCCAGGGCAGGAAGTAACTTCATTGGGTTTCAATGTAAACACCGGTCCCCTCCCATCCTCTTACACCAAAGCCGCGGTTGGGGGCTGGCTCCATGCTGGGGCGAAGTCTGTGCACATGCTGATCAGAGCCCAGGAGGACAACAGAGCCTCAGGCCGTAAGAATACTGCTAAATCTGTGTGGGTCAAGCAAAGGCCCTGAGGCCGCAATTCTGAGTAAACCGCAATCTCAGTCTGGACGGCCCCATACACTGTCAAACACCTCAACTGAACCAGGGCATCCGTCTCAGCGCCAAAACTTCTGGCGAGCCACAAAGCAGGTGGGTTAAGGCGCACAGGGACTTGTTCAAGGAATTCTCGCCTTCCTGGGCCCCCCCCCCCCCAAAAACAAGCCAGTGCCAGGACAAGTGGAGAGGAAATCTACTTCACTCTGCACACAAGAACCTGACAGGGCAAGTAACCGGCGTGGAATTCTGGGGCCTCCAGTTCTTGATTTAGGTGCAGGTTACCGACATGTGCTCTGTCCGGGTAAATGCATCAAGCCCTACAAGTACAATGTCCACTCTCTCCACGTTTCTTTCAAAAAAGAGCTAGCCCCCCAACCCCCCACCAGTGGGGCTGGCTGTAATTATAAATTAAACCAGGTCTTCCCAGCACGTTGGCATTTCCACAGTGTGAAGGGACCCCCAAGAACCCTGGGGGTCGCATCCCCTACTGTCCCCAAAGTTGGTGCCACAGGGCAGAGGATGCATGACATTCTGTCTGTCTCATAGCCTTGAGTTTTTTAAAAGACAAAGCTCTTACAAGTGCACTCCACCTGCTTGCTTCCTTGTAAAGGGTAACTGTCCAAGGCAGCTGAAGCCATGCTGTTGCCCCATGAAATTCCCTACAGGCAGCTGTATGGAATGACCCAGCCACCTGTCTAAACCCACAGGATTAGCTGCTCCGCTGAGACATTTATGGAAGGGGTGCACAAAGTTGGGGCGAGTCTAACCAGTTCTGGGAGGGAGTTCACCGGCCAGACTTTCAGATGTTGGGAGGGCACAGCTCCCAAACTCAGGGCCAGTCTCAGGTTGGAAAGGGACCCATTCCAGCATATTCCAGCAAAGGCTGAAACAGAGCAGCAGGCCAAAGAGGAACTGAGCGTGTCCTCAGGCCAGGATTCCTCCACTTGTCAACCGGAGGTGGCGGGGGACGGACAAGGACGACAACAACAACGACGACGACACACCAGAGCTCAGAGCTGGCTTTCTCCTGAATGTGCCGGGCTGGGCCGGGCCCGGGCCCCAGCCTCGGTTCACTGACTGATAACAGCCTTCTGCAGGGCCCAGTGCTTGCGGAGTCGGGTTCTTTCCTTATATAGCTGTCACAGAGACCGCCCCTCCTCACCCCAGGGAAGGAGGTAGCCCCATGTCTGAACTGGGATTCATCTTTAATGAAAAATGTGGGAGATGCCCAGGACCAGAGCAGGCTGGGACCCGCCCAGCATGACTCGGCAGTGTTTTGGGGTTTGGGCCAAGTAACTGGAAGAAAACCTCTTAGCATGTGACCATGTTTACAGTCGCTGGGCCGCCAGCAGCCTAAACACCATGTGACCCCTAGCGCACAGCCTAGGTGCAAGCCTGAGGGAACCTTATCGCTGGTGACGGAATGAAAGCGTCAGGGGGCCCGTGTGGCTCAGCTGGGCGGGAGAAATCCCTAGGACCCGGAACGGATGTCTCACGGAGCTCCAGGCCCTGCCTGTCCCTGGATTCCTTAGGGAGAAGGAGAAAGCACCCATTGTGTGGGGTGAATGACCCTGTATCCTCTATCCAAATGGGGGTGGGGGCACCTCCCGGGCAAGGAGTGGGCTCATGTGTCATCTGGGCTGGCACCCTCGCACCGGGAACAAAGAGACCACAAGCAGCTGCTTGTCCCCGCTCACACAACGGTCTTCTAGGTCGAAAGCCCCAGCTCTAGAAATGTACCCACTGGCCAGCTGGGGGCGGGGGGCCGGGCAAGGGGCCGCTCGCACTGTGGGGCGGTCCCGGGATTCCCAGGTTCCTCCAGCGGGAAAACGCGCTCTCCCACGGGCGCGGGAGGCTAACCCAGGGTCCTCCCGGCGGGCCCCCTGTCCCCTCACCCGTCACGTAGATGTCGTTGCCCAGCGCCACGATGCTGTAGCCCCCGCCCAGGTGGTCGGGGAACTCGGCCAGGTAGCGCCACTGGCCCGTCTGCGGGTTGTAGCAGTCGACGGTGACCAACTCGTCGCAGTCCTGGTCGCAGCCGCCCACGAGCACGAGGATCTCGGCGAGACCGGTGGAGGGGCGCGGGCGCATGCGGGGGCAGGGCCCGCGGTCGTGGCGGTCGTAGCGCGCCGCTTGGAAGTCGCGTGCCTCGCGCAGCAGGCGCAGGCAGGGCGGGCAGCGCGCCACCAGCGGCTCGGCCTCGACGTGCGCCAGCAGGTAGAAGCGGCGCACGAAGGGGAGGCGCACAGCCTCGAGCAGCTGCGGCCAGTGCGCGGCGCGGCGCGGCGGGTCCGCGCGCACCCAGCGCAGCGCCAGCTGGTAGGCGGCCTCCTCCTTGGGCACGCACAGCCCGTCGTCGTGCAGGTAGCGCAGCAGGCGCGCCAGCGGCAGGCGCTCCAGCTGCTCGGGGCCCAGCTCGCCCACGTGGCGCAGGATGAAGCGCTGCGCCGCGCTCGCCAGCCCCGCGCAGCTGAAGGCCTCGGCGAAGTCCTGCATGTCCAGGCAGTTGGCCAGGTCGAGCTGCTGCTGCAGGAAGGCGCCGCACGCCTCCTTCACCGCCGGGAACTGCAGCAGGTCGGCGGCTCGCAGCAGCGGCTCGGCGTTGTCGCCGCTCACCGCCACGCGGCCCGTGTAGCTGAAGTCCAGCAGCAGCTGCAGCATGTCGGGCGGCACGCCGTGCAGGCGCACCCGCTCGGCGCGGCTCTCTCGCAGCTGTCCCGCGAACATGGCGCGGAAGTAGGGGCTGGCGGCCGCCAGCACCGCGCGGTGCGCGGGGAAGTCGCGCCCGCCCGCCGCCTCCAGCGTCACGTCCAGGAACTTGCGCTCGGCGCGGAGCTGGCTCAGGCCGCGCAGCAGGCTCAGCGCGTGCGCGGGGTCCGAGAAGGGCAGCACGGCCAGGGGCGCCGGCCGCTCCATGGCGCCGTCGCTGGGGGCACTGGAGCGCGCCGCGGCCGGGGCCAGCGGGAGGAACGCCGCGCGCTCCGCGCCCGCCGCTATAAGTACTGCCGGGCGGCGCGGCCTCGGGGGCGGGCCCGGGGGGCGGGGCGTCGCTGGCCCCGCCCACTTAACCCCTCCGGGTCCGGCGCCGCCGCCCGCCCCGCGCCTCAGGCTGAGTCACCGGCCCGCTCGCCCCGCTTCCGCGCCTTTCCGGGGCTGCCCGCGTCCCCCCGCCCGAGCCGGGCGCGCCGGGCGACGAGTGTCCTCTCTCCGTCCGGGGTCGGGGGCCTCTAGGGCCCGCCCACGACCCACCGGGCCCGGCTGCGGAGCGAAAGCCGGCGAAGGCGAGCTCGGCGCCCGGAACCCGCGCCACCCCTTTCGCGCCAGACTTCCCTACTGCGTCCGCCCCTGAGCCCCTGGGCGGCTCGCTACAATGCCTTTTTCTTGTTTTGTTTTGAATTCCACTGGTTCCAAGGGTTGCTAGATAGCCTTATCGCTGGGCTGATTTCAAAGGACAGGATTTTTACAATTCAGGACCAAAGCTTGAACAAGTATAAGCTTTTTAGGTGACGTTTTTTCTTGGCGCATTTATAAGTGACACGGGGCCGGATGCCAGGAATCCGCTCCACTGTGTTCCTGCAGGAGTTTCAGACTTGACTCTTAGGTCATTAACTTTCGTCAGGGCACAAGGCGCAGTTTTAGTCGCCGATTCATAGAGACTCAGGCTCCAGAGCTGTCTTGAGAAGGGGAAAGGCCTGCTCGGGTTCGACCCCCAGACCTCCTGGCCCCCCTCTCCTGGAAATGGAAGGCAGAGAGTAGGAGACAGTCGTAAGAATTCAGAAGAAAGCACTATGAGGCTGAACAAAAGGCTCAAGGACCAGAAAATTACAATCATAGAAGTAATGTAAATAATTCCGGGGAAAATAGTTTTTCCTATTCCAGGAGAGGGGACACTAGGGGCCTGGGGACAGTGCCTTTAGTTCAAGGTCAGACAGGGGAGTGCCTTGAAAACCAGGGGTGTGGGCGTTCAGGAACGTCACAGTCACTTGTGGGGTGACTGTGAAGAAAGGAATCTTCCTTATTTTGGTTCCAGGAGATACAATGCCAGCACTTTGAACGTAGCCACGGTTTTTCTTTAATGTACTCTTTGCCCACTTTTAGAAAAGACCCTTATTTCGAATCCAGTCCTTTTGTTTCTCGAAAGAAACCTGGGTTTTGGTTATTTAATAGCCCCCACCCAGGCCCCGTGGGCCTCACAGACATTCCTGGGGAACGCCTCACCCGCTTGCCCACGTGTGTCCCCGGGAGCGGGGGGGAGGCAGGCACACAGGAGGTGGGAGGGGGGGATGGTGTCATTTCTTGGTTCCAGCTAAGTCAGTGCAACCTTTGGAGAAGACATCTTGTTTTTATTTCATCTCTGAAATGCAAACTGCAGGCTTTCCCTTGTCCTCGTGAATCTCATCATCTTGCCATGAGAACGTATCTGGTCCAAATTTCAGCATGGGAAGCACAGGCCTAAGTAAGAAAACATTCAGGTACCCAGGCAGCTGCCTGTTGCCCATAGATGGACTGTTCACACAGCTATTAACGGCAGCGGCAGCATTCCTGGGCCCAGGAGCCCGGCCAATAGCTTACTTGCACAGGCTTTGTGACAAGAAAGTCTGAGTAGCCAGGAAGTGGGATGTTTGCAGGGAAAAGTACTCCAGTCCCTCTGGGTCAGAACACGTCCACCTTGCAGAAAGCAAAGCTTTAATAAATCAAAGATATTTCGATAGTGAATGTTTCGTGTAACTATTTAAATAAATCAGCCTTACTGTGAAGCCTTGATGAATGATGATGCATATGTTTATTGAAATGGAAAGATAGGGGCGCCTGGGTGGCTCAGTCATTAAGCGTCTGCCTTCGGCTCAGGTCATGATTCCAGGGTCCTGGGATTGAGCCCCACATCGGGCTCCCTGCTCCGCGGGAAGCCTGCTTCTCCCTCTCCCACACCCCCTGCTTGTGTTCCCTCTCGCACCGTGTCTCTGTCAAATAAATAAATAAAAACTTTAAAAAAAAAAGAAATGGAAAGATAGTCATGCCATCCTGTCGAGCTGTATACTACCTGTCGGTAGTATCACCCAATTTGTTGTCTGTATTCCTATGCCTACAAGACAATTGTGAAGGTAACGTATTCTCTAGGTGGTTAGGTTTGTTTCGTTTGTGCTTGCCTGTATTTTCCATTCTGTGTATTAAGGAAATAATACGTTTAAAATAAAATTAAAAATTCAGTTTTTTTTTTTTTAAAGATTTTATTTATTTATTCATGAGAGATAGAGAGAGAGAGAGGCAGAGGCAGAGGGAGAAGCAGGCTCCTGGCTGAGCAGGGAGCCCGATGCGGGACTCGATCCCAGGACCCTGGGATCATGACCTGAGCTGAAGGCAGACGCTTAACCGACTGAGCCGCCCAGGCGTCCCTAAAAATTCAGTTTTTGAGAAAAAGGGTATATTAATATCCGGGACCTAAAAGGGGAGCATTTGAAGCCATGGGTACGTATCTAAGTCAACAAAGGAATTTGGTCAGAAAATAAAGAAACAGATTTAGACCCATCAGCTGTTTGGAAATTTGAAGAACCTACTAACCCAGGCACGCTATCTAGTTCCTTTTTTCACTCATCAACCTTAAGAGTTGAAGATGGGAATGTGAGAAATTCATTTACTGAAGTATGACCATGTGATTGATACAGTTGGCGAAATTTTTTTTTTTTTAAGATTTTATTTATTTGACAAGAGACCTAGTGCCAGAGGGAACGCAAGCAGGGGGAGTGGGAGAGGGAGAAGCAGGCTTCCAGTGGAGCAGGGACCCCGATGCGGGGCTCAATCCCAGGACCCTGGGACCATGACCTGAGCCGAAGGCAGACGCTTAACGACTGAGCCACCCAGGCGACCCGTAGTCGGCAAACTCTTGAAATGTCATTCCACAGCCTGCCATGGTAGAAACACTAGTGTTTGGGTAAGAAAAGTGTTAAATCTAGTCAACGACCCATAGTTTAGGGGGAAATGTTTGTATTTAAAGATTAAAGTTCTGGGGAGAGGGCAGCTGGGGGGCTGGGGGGTGCGGACAAAAAAGATTAAACTTCAACCATTAAAGTTTTAAAAATTTACCTCTTCCACAATCATGAAAATGGTCTCTGCCTGAGTAACTTCTTCATGATAAAGTAATTTAATGAGATTTAACAAATAATGGTACCATTTCATTTTAAACATTCAAACTATGCAATTTTGATATCTGAATTCTAATTTTAGGCAGACAGGACAAGAGGTCACTGAGATCATTTTACAAAAGCCACTGTTATCCTCCTTCCCGCCCCCCTTTGCGAACATTTAGGAACACATACTTTAGCATTTATACCATCAAAAAAGAGATTGCGCCTTTTTTCCTATCATACACCCTGATTCTTTTCTGCTTCTGGATCACCTAAAGTGTGGCTTGTAATAAAACTTACTCTATGTAAACTTTTAAGGAACGCTACAGTATTCCCTATTTATTAAGTGCATTATATATGTAAATAATACGGTAGATCAAAACATTTCAACACTATCTGGCATAGTGTTAGCTATTAATGTTTATGGTTTACCGGTATGAGCCATAACACAGCAAGTTCATTTGATCTCTGTGTATAAGTTATTTTTCTTGCTATATAAAGAGCTGACAATACATGGTTTAAAAATTATTTATTAATGACTTAAAACTATTCATATATATATATATATTCATACAGTGGTCAAGGTACTAAAAGTTGAAACAAGACAATTTGGGGGAATTATCACGTTTTTTTCTTCTCCTGGAGATGGAAGTGGGAAAGTCAGAAAATTGCAGCTGGGAACAATCCACAGGAATTCCATAGTATTAAAGCTGAACAAAAAGCTGAACCACCAACAAGCATTTCTGGGAAAGACAAACCTTTGGTTATGTTCATGCCCGCACTCAAGCACTGAGTTATAATGGGAGGCAGAAAGCTTTCCTGAATGTTCCCCAAATGAATGTAGTGTAGCTGGTGAGATTTAGAAAGGTGAAACTGTATTTGGTAACCCAATTAAAATAACTACATTCTCCAGTTACTTACTGGGAAACTGGTATTCTTAGTATTTTAAAACTTGTCACAACCTGTCTAACATTGGTTTTTTTCTTCTTTTCCAAATAACTATAATCATCAGATTATAATATATATATATATATATATATATTTTTTTTTTTTTTTTTTTTAGGCAGAAAACAAGGAATCACAGACTCCCAAGAATCTGGCTACTGTGGCTAATGCTCTTGCATTAATCCTTGAATTCCAAATTTGCCCCCTGGAGCCCAGGTGTAGTGGAGGACACCTGAGAAATAGACTAGATAAACCAACTACATTTCCCCACGTGTACATATTATGCTATTGAATCTGGGTCAGTTATTGGTATTCTAGTCCTTCCCTGAGTCTAGGGATGGGATGGTAGATATAATGTCTAAATCTCCTCCAAAGGGCTAAATTTCTAAGGGGAATCAAAGGACGGAGGCCAAGAAGGTCCTCCATGAAAATATTGGAGTGGCAGGCAGGGAAACAAGCAGACTACATCAGGTAGTATTGGTCACATCTGTGTACTAAGAACTACTATTTATGAATCACTTACTCAAGAAATACCTATTGCGGGACGCCTGGGTGGCTCAGGTCATGATCCCAGGGTCCTGGCATTGAGCTCCACATGGGGCTCTCTGCTCAGTGGGGAACCTGCGTCTCCCTCTCCCTCTCCCTCTGCCTGCAGCTCCCCCTGCTTGTTCTCTTTCTGTCATATAAATAAATAAAATCTTAAAAAAAAAAAATATATATATATATGTATATAAATATTGAATACCTATTCTGAGCAAAAGTTATCACTGTTACATGACACAACCCAGGTCTGGAATGTTCTTTCCTCAGTGTGACTGAGTGGTTCCATTCAATATAGATCCCTGAATTCTAGGGTTTTGTCTTCAAGTCCATTATTATTATGAACAAATTCTTTATTTCACTGTCTTAATGGGAAGGGGATTTAATATTTCCTACGT